CCGTTTCCATGCATCCTCACCAGGCTTCAGGGTGATCGCTATGATCTTATCTCAGCCGCCTTGACAGGTGTGTACTGATACTTCACGGCTTTTACGTGCGTTTCGCTGATGACTAATGACGTGAACACCTTTCCATGTGTTTCTTTGCCATCCGTATATTCTCTCTAGTCAAGTGCACCTTCAGGTCTTTTGTTTACATTCTATTTTTGACACTGTTAAGTTTTGAAAAATTCTTTATAAAGTATAGAAACGAATTCTTTGTTGAAGGTGTACTTTGTAAATGTTTTCTTTCAGTGTTTAGCTTGGCTTTTTATTCTCTTCACAGGGTGTCTTACAGAGCAAAAGTTTTTTATTCTGATGAAGTCTATTTTAACAATTTTTCCTTTTAAGGATCATATTTTTGGTGACAAATCTAAACCTCCTGACCCAGCTCCATATGCCAAAGATTTTCTTTTCTTGCTTTCTAAGAGTTTTATAATTGTCAGCTTTATGTTGAAGTCTACGATACATTTTGAGTTAATTTTCATAAAGGGTGCGAGACCTAGGTTGTGGTTCTTTTTGTTTGGTGGTTTTGTCTGTAGATGTCCAGCTGCTCCAGCCCATTTGCTACAAAATCTGTCTTTCCTCCATTGAATTGCTTTTCCATCTTTGTAAAAACATAATTGGTTGTATTTGTGCAGGTCTGTTTCAGGATTCCTTATTGTCTGTCTCATTAATCTAGGCATTTGTCTCTATGCTAGCAATATAATAAGTCTTGAAAGAACAGCCTGTGGCTTGGTGTGGTGGTGAGCACCTGTAATCCCAGCTGCTAAGAAGGCAGAGGCGGGAGAGTCACTTGAACCTGGGAGGTGGAGGTTGCAGTGAGTAAAGATCATGCCACTGCACTCCAGCCTGGGCAACAGAGTGAGACTCCATCTTGAAAAAAAAAAAAAAAGGTAGCCTGATTCCTCCCACTTTATTTTGAAAAAAAAAAAAAAAAAAAAAAAAAAAAAAAAGAATTTAGTTATTCTAGTTCCTTTCTCTTTCCATATAAATTTTAAAATAATCTTGTCTATATCTACCAGAGTTCCTTCCAGAATTTTGATAGAAATGTGTTTAAATCTTTATATTATTTGAGAGAAATGACATTTTTACTCTGTTGAGCCTCCTAACCCACGGACAGAGCTTGTTTAGGTCTTCTTTGACTTGGTTTATAATCGTTGCACTGTTTCAGCATACAGATCCAGCATATGGGTTGTTGGGCTTATGCCTCGGTATCTCATTTTTTTAGCTATTATAAATAGTATTGTGTTTTTAAGTTTAGGGTCCATTACTAGTATGCAGACACACAATTGATCTTTGTATATTTGTCTTGTGTCCTGCAACCTTTGTGTATTTATTAGTTCTAAGAGGTATATTGTTTTGTGTTGTTTTTCAATTTCTTGGGATTTTCCACAGAGACAATCATGTCATCTGCAGATGCAGACAGTTTTCTCCCTTCCCTTCCAATTTGCGTGTCTTTTATTTCCTTTTTAAGAAACTGTTACTGCTCTGACTAGAACTTTCTGTACTATGGTAAACACAAGTGGTGAGAGTGGACATCCTTGCCTTGTCTCTGGTATTAAGGAGAAAGCATTTGTAACTGAGTATCCCAGCCTCAAAATGTCCTTTAAAACTTTTTTTCCTTTCTTGCTTTCAGCCTTGAAACACACTTTGTTTCTCTCTTTCCCACCAGGCACTTCTGTAAGCAGTGCTTGCTTATCTAATTACGTGCTTACTTAGAAATTCCAGGGGCCAATTTTGAAACAAACCAGGCAGAGAGACCCAGATGCAGAATCCTCCCACTTAGGGGGAGTTACAGGTAGCCCCCCACTTCCAGGCTGAAGTCAGGATGACGCAAAGCAGACCTCGGGACAGGCAAGTGATGACTCAGGAGAGCCATCAGAACAGGAAGCAGATCGACACCCCCTGCCCCGCTCCCACATACTCCCCAAACCTCTTCCTCCTTGAACCCTTCACTCAGCCCAAAAAGTTGGAATGGACTTTTAAAGGCATGGGCCTGGCCATTCCTCAACTGCTAGCATTTGAATAAAGCTGCTTTCCTTCCACCACACCTCACTGCTCACGCTTTGACTTCTGAGCAGCGAGCAGCTGGACTTGAGCCAGTTACACATCAGTCTTTCACCAATAGGAATAATGTGGCCAGGCGCGGTGGCTCACGCCTGTAATCCCAGCACTTTGGGAGGCCAAGGCAGGCAGATCATGAGGTCAGGAGTTTGAGACCAGCCTGGCCAACATAGTGAAACTCCATCTCTACTTAAAAAATACAAAAATTAGCTGGACATGGTGCCTGTGGTCTCAGCTACTTGGGAGGCTGAGGCAGGAGAATTGCTTAAACCTGAGAGGCGGAGGTTGGGGTGAGGCGAGATCGTGCCACTGTACTCCAGCCTGGGCGACAGAGCAAGACTCCATCTTGATACATAAATAAATAATAAAAACACAAAAATTAGCTGGGCGTGGTGGTGCATGCCTACAATCCCAGCTACTCAGGACGCTGAGGCAGGAGAATCGCTTGAACACAAGAAGCAGAGGTTGCAGTGAGCCGAGATTGTACCACTGCACTCCAGCCTGGGCGACAGAGCAAGACTCCATCTCAAGAAAGAAAAAGAAAGAAAGAGAGAGAGAGAGAGAGAAAGAGAAAGGAAGAAAGGAAGGAAGGAAGGAGAAAGAGAAAGAAAGAAGGAAGGAAGGAAGGAAGGAAGGAAGGAAGGAAGGAAGGAAGGAAGTTAGCCACAGTTTTTTTGTAGATGTTCTTTGTCAAGTTAAAGTTCTCTTCTGTTCCTATTTTTTGAGCGTTGTTATCCTGAATGGGTGTTGGATTTTGTTAGATACCTTTAACAGCCCAACAGGCATCACCATCAGAAGGAACACAGCCATCCAGAGAAACGTGCCAGGCCACAAAGCACTGGGGACCAGGGATCACGCCCCTCCCATCTGCCATGGGCTGACCCCCAGCCTCCAGCCCTACCATCTCCTGACGGCGTCTGCACCACTGGAACCCAACCAGTATCTAAAAGAACACAGTTGGCGGGCGAGACTGGGACACAGGGTGAGATGGGTGGACAATGGGAGGCTCCTGGGGAGCAGCCGTCGCACTGAGTGTGGAACCCGTGGGGGAGCCCCGTTCTCTGAAGCATCTGTGCATGTTGTTCCTGTGATATTGTGCTGGCCTAGAGCCAGAACCAGAGCAAAACTATTTTATAAAATGCAAAACTGTTTTTAGATAAGTTGAAATGGCTGCCCCATTCTCCTTACAATAACTACTGTCCTTGGCCTCTGTGAATAGAACTGCCAGTTTGTTCCTCAAAACTATGTAAAGCTGCTTACCTTTTCTTATCAGTAACTGCCAGAATTGCTAGCCTTTGCTTACCGGCAATTGCCAGACTAAGCAGCCCAAGCTAGTTCCATCCTGGCTCCTGTGGCTTGTAATAAGTAACTAAGGTCTGTGATTTCCACCTTAACCAGATAATGTGTAAATAAATGTTTATCTTGACTTCTGTAAACCACTTAAGTAACAAACGGAATGACAAAAGTCCCCATCCCTTGGAATGTCCGGAGACCCCCACCCTCACCTCTGCCCAGGAGGTAATTTACAGAATCCACTAGCCCTCGGAATGTCTGAAGCCTTTTCATCCCCATCCCCGCCCCTCACCCCCACTCCCAAGGTGGTTTTTCGGGTATAAAAAATCGTGGCACCCTCCTGTTGCCACCACAGGTTGGAGAGACGTGAGTCCTCTGTGGTCGCCGGCATAATAAATGACCCTACAATCTGGCATACTTTTGTCTTGTGATAACTTTCTACATTCGGTCAAATACAACATTCCAGCATTTTCTTCAAGGATTGAGCCAGCAGCGCCAGTGTCGTAAGGTGCTTAGATGATTCACAACCAACCAGTGAAATACGAGGTGCCTGGGATACCGTCAACAAAAACAGGAAACAGAGACATCTTCCTGCTGATGTAGAGACGCCAGCCTGTCTGCTCATCTCCTGTCCTGAAGAGCCCAGGCCCCACCCTTTCCTGCCCGGGGGCATGGGGGGTGGTTTCTGCTCACCAGCACTTGCCGTGGGAGAGGTGAGGGACTGGGTCACACCAGCCCCTCCTTACAGCCCCCCCGGGTTAGTAGAGTGTGCGTTAGTATTATTTAGCAAGTACTCAAGGGTGTCTGATCTTGGACCACTGAGGCACACAGATGCCAGCATGCCGGCCCAGCACTTGCCTGCAGAGCGTGGCTCAGCCGTGGGTCCCAGGGCAGATGACGCAGGCCCGGGAACTACCAGGTCCAGGAGGAGAAGGCACAGTTCTTGCTCAGGCTGTCTGGGGATGAGGCCAGCGGAGCCAGGTGCCCAAAGGAGCTCAGCACTCACGAACGCTGAGCAAGGCTGGCAGGTGGCTGTTGGTGCCTCATGCCACCCATTTATCTAAAGAGATGAGATTCAAGGCCTGTCCTGCGGGCTGGGGCCGTCAAAGCTGATGGGAGAGGGGAACGTAAATTCTAACGGGGAGATGGCCGATGAACACGTGCAGGAAGAAATGGACAGAACCATCCAGAGAGATTGCGTGCTCTGAGGACAGCACGGCCTGGCTCGGGTATGGAGTGAAGTGGGGTCGGGGAGGCAGCGTGGTCCCTCGTATGGCCCGAGGAGGCCGTGTATAAACTGACCCTGAGCCACACAGTGGTATCCTCCTCTGCCCCTAGGAGGCTCTAGTGCAGGGTCCGGGGCAGGGAAGATCAGTGCAGCGTGGGTCCCAGAGCTTGGGCGCTAGGGTGTGCGGGCTCAGCGGGCAGCAGCCCCACGTCTCTGTGGTTCTAAAGCCCAGTCCCTTTCTCCTCAGCAGGGGAGATGCCCAGTTCCCCAGAGAACTTGCCCAGGGTCCCAGCCGGGGTGCTGGGAGGGCTCAGGGGTGGGAGAGGGACGTCCCAAGGCCGTGGGTTCTCCCTCTGTGGCTCGGGGTGCGGACACACACCACCCTGCCCCGTCCTGGCAAGTCCTCCGGGCTGGTCTGAGTGGGCGCGTTCGGGTGGTGCAAACCCTGGGCACATCATGTGTCTTTTCTTCTCTGGCTGGCACTGAACTGCTGCTCACCAGATGCCAGCAATGATGACACTCCCCCTCCTGGATGCAGGACTGGCTGCCACTGTGGGGAGGGGTGACCCGTGCCACGTGCTCCCAGGACACTGGCTAGGGGGCCATAAAGGACACCTTGAGAGAAGCTGGCACAGACTTGTTCAGACTCCCGGTGGCCCGCCGAGGTCGTGAGCATAGAGCTCTGGAGATGAAGACCCTGCTCCTGGGTGTCACGCTCAGCCTGGCCGCTGCCCTGACCTTCGCCCTGGAGGAGGAGGATGTGAGCCGGGCTGGTGTGGGCGGGTGGAGGAGCCAGGCCGACTCCTGGGCAGGGGGCAGCGCCAGGGGCCCTGCTTTAGGAGGTATCAGTCAAGGCTGGGTTCTGACCCCGTGCTCCCAGCCCGGGGGTCAGGGGGAGGGGTCCCGTTGTTCCTCCAGCAGACACGGCCCCTCCTGGGACCCGGAGCCGGAGCAGGCTCAGCTCAGGGGGTCCTGCTGCACTGACACCTGATCCCCGAAGGTCTCGCGGGGCTGGGCCCTGGGGAGGGCGGGCTCACCTGGTGCTGGGGCCCGGGGTCCATGGGGTGCAGACACGCTTTCCCTCCACCAGAGGCTGGGAGCCCTGAGCCGGGGATAGGGGTGGGAAGGGTGGCAGCCGGGCAGCATGGCTGTCTGATTAGAGCTGCAGGCCTGAGTGCGGCGGTCAGGGTAGGCTCTGGGCCAGCCCATGGTGGGCTCACGGCCTCGGCCTGCTCCAGATCACAGGGACCTGGTATGTGAAGGCCGTGGTGACTGATAAGGACCTTCCGGAGGAGAAGAGGCCCAGGAAGGTGTCCCCAGTGACAGTGACAGCCCTGGACCGTGGGGACTTGGAAGCCATATTCACCTTTATGTGAGTGTCGCCCTCTGTGCGGCCCCTCAGGCTGCTTTCTCTCCCCTCCCGAGACCCACCGGTGCCCATCCCCCATCCCGGTTTCGGGCATTGGTAAGAATCACCCCCTGCCTTGGAGGGAAAGAGCCGGGGCATCCTAAAGCTTGGTGTGGGGCGCAGGAGGGGGCAGTGGAATTTTCAGGTCACTGGGTCAGGACCATGCACCAGGTGAGCTGAGGGCGGCCCAGGTGTGTCCTGGGAGCCGCTGCCCGCGTGTCTCCTGTTTTCCAGGAGGAATGATCGGTGCTTCCAGAAGAAAATCCTGATGCGGAAAACGGAGGAGCCTGGCAAATTCAGCACCTGTGAGCCTCCCCCAGCCCCACTGCAGGCGGAGAGCACCCAGGCCACCCTTCTACCAGGGTCCTGGCTCTGCCCACCTCGAGGAGGGGCCGGCCTCTCCTTTCTCAGGGGCTGGTGGCCCTGACATAGGTGTGACAGGCTTGTCCACAGTGGAGATGGACCAGATCACACCTTCCCTCTGGGAGGCCCTAGCCATTGACACATTGAGGAAGCCAAGGGTGAGGGATGGGGAGGCAGAGGGTTGGGATGTGAAGTAGGGCAGGGGCACTGCTGGGGCTGGGAAGGCCGGGCTCTGGCCTCTGCGGCTCCATTGCTTGGGTTGGGACCTTCCCTGGAGGAAGCTCCTGCCTCAGTGTCGGGGTACACGCTGTGCAGAGCAGCCAGGCCCAGCTCAGACTGTCCAGGGCACCTGGGTGACCACTGAAACATTCCCGAGTGTTCCTTCATGTGGTCCTGAGTGCTTTCTCTGGGAATGAGGGCACTGAAGACCCACCTTCTCTGTCATCTACAGATGGG